TTCGCTTAAAAAGTCAAAGAAATGAGAAAAACCCAATTCTTCTTACTCTTGTAAAAGCGAAATTACTTTTAAGTGCTTATTAGCTAAAATCACGATCGGAAGTTTCCGGAAAATGTTACAACATGCTCTCATGATCTCTCATTTCTATGAGACAAAATAATATGTGATTCGAACTGTGTACTTCTCAGATTATAGATTAAATCCTAACTAGTAACCTTTATCGCCTTACCAAAATGTCGCCAAACTACCTGATACCATATTCCAAAGATTAGCCAAAAACGTTAGTAAATAAAAAGACAAAGAATTCTGTAAGGTCACTTTAGTAAGAAAACTGAACATTGATATGATAAAAAAGCTAATGTTGTGCTAATATTTGGACGCTGCATCGGGAATTCTAAATATATACAGCTATGCTGCTTCTAAAATTTTTGCCCTCTGTTGAATTGTATATGTCGTAAGCGCGAAGGAAATGATGTTTAATACTAAAGCTAAAAAGACAAAAAAGAGGGGTTAATAGGAGTTAATGCAGCAGCAGACTGGTAGACTTCGATCTCAGTAAAGTCGTAAAAAACTTTAATAAACTCTTTTAGGCTAACGTAAAAATCTGGATTCTTTCCAATTTTTTTATAAATTCAGGGCACCTATATTCGTTTAAACCAGACGATTCATGCCCCAAGTTATATAAGCACTGTCGCGTAATAACCGCCATTAATGCGTTTCGTTACACGAAAAGCCTCTCGCTCTAATTGTGAATACCTAAGCAACTATTAACTTTAGAAAAAACATTTATATTTTTCGGTGTCCGCCGATAACATCGGCAAAAACATCGCGGACGAAAACGTCGCGGAAAAAACAACGCAAGGCGAAAACGTCGTGCTACAAAACATCGTGGGAAAAAATCGCAAAAGAGAACTCGCAGTTCTAAAACATCGTGGTATAAAACATCGCTGTCGAAAATAAAGCGGTTCAAAAATTTCGCAGTTTGAAAACATCGTCGTTGAAAATATCGTGGTTAAAAATAAAGTATCTACAAATCATCGCATGACGATAACATCGCAGACATGCCTTTTTCAGGTTTTAATAATTGTAAACGGATATTCCCATAATGATTTCTGAGCGCCCCACTTTATTTTCTGCAGCGATGTTTTGTACCACGATGTTTTCTCTTTGCGATATTTTCTCCCACGATGTTTTGTTTGTAGCACGACGTTTTCCGCCTTACGTTGTTTTCTCTGCGACGTTTTCGTCCGCGATGTTTTCGGCTGTAACCATATTTTTCAGAGGGCACGTCGAATCACGCTGCCGTTCTATGTTAGTAAACAAATTCGCTCTAGAATGATTAGCTAAGGATATAAACCAGGTGCCTCATTTTAAGGAATCTGATTTATATTTGTATATTTCAAGACATGTTTCTTAATTGTTATCAGTACTTGTCGATAATTAATGAACTCTTTAGTTTATAAACTCTTACTTTATTTGAACTCAAAAAGACAAAGGAAGTTCCTTGAATTTTAATTATCGTTTGTATAATCTGTCTGTTTCCAAAGCTAGAACTTGTCAATATTATTAAAATAACTTCCGACGAAATATCGTTAGATGAATATACTACGGTTAAGAATAATTTTTAATTACCTAAATTAGAATACAATGTAATGTTCCCCCTTCGGTAATCCTGGTTATCCATAGTCATCATAGAAAAAGTTGTTTAGTAAGTTATTTTTGATTATTTGTCCAAAAGGGGCAATATGCCCATAAAGTATTATTAATTTCGTTTTGACATTTTGCATCGATTCGATGCGTTGTTTCACTTTTCAAACTGTTGCCACCCAATATTATCGCCCTGTATTATATTTGAAGAAATTAAATGATGAAAAATCTGCATAAATGTATGTATGTTTCTCGCATTGTGATAAAACAACGGTACCTAGAGCCATCATAACGTGAATAACGTAATCTTCCTGCGAATATGGTCATTTGGAAGACCAAATTTGGAATTTGTTTAATTATGGATTTCATATTTTATAAACCTGTAACGAATTTTTGATTAACAAACTCAAGGATTTCAAAGCGAGCAATGGCAACGTTGTACAGAAAAAAAAAACCTTTTTATCTTCAGCGCGCGAGTTCTCTATCGGAAATTCTAAAGATATGCTCATTTTAAAACTATTATGCGATATTGCTGTTGAACTGAATTTTATGGATTAAGTGCGAAGAACATGATATTTAATAAATAAAGGTCATACACAAAATGTTAAACAAATGCCCCTTCGGACATAATTTAAAATCTGAAACGCTTTAGTTTTTTTTTTTTTTTTTTTAAATAACTTTTAACTTTATTTCAATTAATTCTTCTCTCTACTAAGTTTCTTTTCTTATTTAATTTTAAAATTCTATCGTTTCAAAATAATTTAATTGTTTCAAAATAATTTAAATTTTGTACAACGGGAACAGAAATTTCACTTTTAAGTGTTCACAGCTTTACGTTTAGTGTGCATTAAGAAATATTATTTTCAGTTCTCTTTTATCTTGTAGAATGCATTGGATGCATTTTCATTAGCATATATTTTAACGTGTTATTACTAGAAATAAGTAACCTTTAATCCCGTATTATTAGCATATCGATTTTTGTTTTAAATCATAGTTATTTCGTTAACATATTCCTTTTGGTATTCACGGCATTTTATATACACCTTCTTTTTCAGTTCCTCCCAAAATTTTAGAAAATGTGACAAGTTCCGATACTGATGTCCGTGAAGGGACAGACGTGTCATTGAGGTGTCAAGCATCAGGATCGCCCGCTCCTCAAATAAAATGGAGAAGAGAAGACGAGAAAGATATCACCCTAGGTACAAAGCAAGGTAACATTTCATTGAATTCGCTCTTTTATCGTGCTTTCTGGCAACATGTTTATTATTATGAAAGGCTTTACGTCACAATGTTGAGATTTCTATTTGCTTCGCAATATTAAAAAAAACTGATGTGTACACCACACGATTTTCTCTACGGATTGTTAAGTTATACGCATTTTTTTCCTGCGTTTCATTTAAACTTATTGAACTAAATTAAATCCACTTCGTCGATAGCGCATAAACCTTAATAGAATAAAAGCACTGTTTAAAATTTACTATATTTATTTACCATAGCGACACTCTGGCGCTAGATTCACTTAACAGCATTACATCTAATTCATTTTGCAACTCAGAATGCATAAAAATTACATTATCTGAAGAATTATCTAATCGTTGCCGCGTGTTCTATTGAAATACTATAAAAAATCTTAAACAATGTATAAAAGAAATCAAACAAACGTATGTGAAAACGTTTTTCACATACGATTGAGCGCCGCTTACCTAGTGCGCATGCGTTCCTCGTAAACATTCTCCTCTGATATTTGCTGCTAATAATTTTCTCGAATTTCATTAAAGATATATTCCTCAATCAATTAATTCAGTTCTCACCTCGCGTCAAAACAAATACGCATAAAAACTCAAAATATTTTCCTTAAAAATTGGAAGATATAGATAAACATAAAACACCAAATACAGTTAAAACAATAAAATAAATTTATTTTGCAATTACAGTTTCTACCCAAAAACAAGGAATTCGGCCAGCAAGCAAGAAGGCAGATTTCTCGGTGAATAAAACTAAGAGTTTTCTTTTGGTCCCACTCCGCAAAAAGACACAGCAGGTGAAGAAAGACTTACTTCACTATTCTGCTAAGTTTCAAATGTAAACAAAAAGGGCTTCTATGGTAAAAACAGACTTAGCCGTATTTAAACAACTTTTAAATTATTGATAATTCTACAACTACTGTATGCGGAATACCTATAGGCATAAACCGGAAGATAAGAACAACATAATTCAATCATTTTTAAAGCAAAAAATGCACAATTTACCAACAAATAAGAATAAAAAAACGAAGCTTCCCGAGCCGAGTAACATAGTGGGTATCCGAAAATTTGACATTCCCGAACTGAATATGTCTGACACTTGGAAGTTTCAAACAGAAGTATCTATCATTAGTATCCGGCACCTGAGGTTCCAAACACATAAACATTCCCAGGTAGAAGTATTTGTTATTAAAGAAGAATTTAGGTAAGGAATTAGGTATTAAGAAGTATTTAGGTAGAAGTATTTGCTATCCGGCATCTGTGGTTACTGACACATAGACGTTCCACGTAGGAATATGTACCTGAAAAACGAACTTTTCACTGATCTGGCGGTTAGTTTTACAAAAAGAACTTCATCCCATTTTCAGATATTTTTGTACAGAATGGACTTCAACGCGAGAGTGTTAGTTAAACTGTAACCACAGTATTGGCTCAAGGAAATAGACTTCCTCCGTGACTAGGAAACCTTCCCTCAAGGTTGTGTTTTCCGAAGAATATGTGAGTGAAATTTTTAAGATTATTTTCTCTCTCTCTTAGTATTCCCAAATGCCATAGTGGAACAGTTAATAATGATTTATCCACCTGTTTATATTGTTATTACTTATATAAATTAAATATTACAGTTAGTAAAACTGAGAAATGATTTATTATTTCAAGAGATAGCCAGTTTGGGTTTCGTGTATTTAATTATGGCAAAGCACACTAGGGCTATCTGCCTAAGGGGAGGGATGCCTTCGTGGAGGACTTTCTAAAGGTGTATTTGTATTTAGTTATGGCAAAGTCACGAGGGCTATCTGCCTAAGGGGAGGGATGCCTTTGAGGAGGACTTTCTAAGGGAAACTGGCTCGTATACATGTTACACATGGGGAAAACCACGAAAGAGACATTGCAGATAGCCCGTTCGCGGGATTCGAACCTCGGACCGAGCTACCAATGTTCAGCGACTTTACCACTCGGCCGCTCGTGGGCAGCCAGTTTTGGGATGTTTTAAATTTGTTTCACCTATTGAGTTTGTGAGTCAGAAAATGTCAGTTTCTAATGGATGAGAACCAGTTATTTAGAACACAAATTACACCTACAAGACAGGTGGGCATTGCATGGCGACATAACATAGTGTAGCATAAACATAACGAGACATCAGCATTGCAACATGACAGCATAGGAACATTGCGTAGCGACATAACATTAGGATATAACATATTTACAGCATTAAGGGGACTCATACACCTTAAACCCCTCATGATCTTCGAATATGTGACTATTGCAAGAATTGGGATATTTTATTTATTTTAAAAGCAATTACTTCCAACTTTTTACAGCTGACTTCATGATATAGCTGCTTTGGAAACTAGTAACCAGAAAGAACAAATATTTTTGTAATTTAATCCTCTTCGTGACAAAATATTTCGCCATATTTCCACATTGCGCGCATGATATTTTAAAAATGACTAATGGTACATACTTGAAATTAGACAGAATTCTTTATATGGGCACTGTTTTCTACCTGAACCAACAATCTGATGAATATTTTACTATTGAAAAATTTTATGGACGAAAACATTACAAATTCCTTTAATAAAATACATTTTATAAACTCAACTCGAAATAAAATAAAAATTTAACATGAAATTTTTAGAATTTTAGGGTCACAGTTGTTTCCAGACGTTATAAAAGCTATATATTAAATATGGAATTAAATTATGAAACAGAATGTTTCAAACTGTGCGCGCAAGTTGGAAACATGACGAAAAATGTGGTCACAAAGCGGATTAAATTATAAAAATATTTGTGGCAACACAAACTTTCTGATGACTATTTCAGAAAGCAGCTATATTATGCAGTCAGCTGTAAAAAGTTGGTAGTAATTGCTTTTAAAATAAATAAGTTATCCCAATTCTTGCAACAGTCACCTATTCGAACATCTTATGGGTTTTAAGGTGTATGAGTCCCCTTAAATGTACAGCGAAACTTAGCCTACACGAAAGGTGGACATAGCGTAGCGACATAGCCTACTTCGTATTTAAACTGTATGCACTTAGACACTGAGCATTTAGACAGTACGCTTATCTATTGTGCATTTAGATAGCAACGTACATCTTTCGCATTTAGATATGGCATTTGGACAGTAACTTATGTCAGTGAATTATTTCTCTTAAAAATCCTAAAACCACATGTTAGGAGATTAATATGATCCGCAATCGACTGAAGAAAGATCGTTTTCTAATTATTTATCTTAGTTTCATCAGTCAGTAATGTGTATTGAACGTAATGTTTATTGAATTAAAATATAAATGTCAAGAATCAAAAAATATTTCGGCGAAAAATCGCCAAAAGTCTCCAACCTTGGCGACTATTTGGCTACATTTGGGTCCGATTCCTGTATAACGTAATGGATATTATAATTGAATAAATGTAATTGATTACTATATTACTTGATTTCTATATTAGCTTAAACCGTACTCGGCTCTCATACGCCTTCCAGTAATTTCTAGAAGCAGAACGCCATAGAGATTTCTCGACGGTCGGAGAAAAACTATATAAGACCAAAGAAATTACCAGTTTCTAAGTAATTTACAGATTAATAAACCGAAATTTCCTTAGAGAAATCATACTTCTAATTATGTCCTTCCTTACAAATATGATATTGTTACGAATTTGGTATTTAAAAAGCTAATGTTAGTTCAGTTATAAATTAAATGGTTTTATTTCTCGCGTAGTGCAGCGCGTGACGAATATTAAAAGAAAGCTAAGCCGGAAAATTGAAAATACAAGAGCGCGTGCATTAAATAAATAAATATCTCTTTTTGATTTCGAGAAAGTACTGGAAAATTCTAGCGCGTGATTTTAAAATCTTATAAAAGGAGGAAAACATCTCAGTTTGTAGTAGTTGCTTAGTTTGTTGTTGTTTAGAAAACTGCTCTTGTTGATTGTAGCGAATTCGCGGATTAGCGTTCTTTAGCTGTTTTGAATTACTTTCTATTGGACATTTGAGTAGTTAAAAGAAACTACTGTGAGGTATTGTAATACTGCATGATAATTTTGAGAAAAGTTAAGCATTTTTGTTGTGATAATAATAAATTTTTGTTCATTTTTTCATCGGACTTGTGCATTCATTTCATAACGAACCCGTACGCACGCAACAATATTTACAGTTAGTATAGTCTGTATAGAATAAACTTGAAAACCTGTGTAAAATATACATAATTAGAGATACTCTTCAGAGAAATGCTGTGTTGTCTTCTTGCAGTATGGCAGTTTACATTATTTATTTAGCAATCTTTACGAAATTTTATTTTATGATCTTACTCCGCCCTTATTCCAATCACCTGAACTAAAAATGTGCTTACCAGAAACTTAGACAGTATTACCAGAAAGTACACATGTATATCTAAAATGCGTTTTCATTTTCGAAGTTTAGAACTTAAATTTAGAATTTTTTGAAACAATGAAATTTTAAGGGAGCTCTAGGATATTTTATTTATTTTAAAAGCAATTACTTCCGACATTTTACAGCTGACTACATTAATATAGCTGCTTTGGAAACTAGTAACCAGACAGTTTTGTTGCCACAAATATTTATGTAATTTAATCCGCTTTGTGACAAAATGATGCCTCACGTTTCCACCTTGCGCGCATATTTTAATAATGGATAATGGTACATACTTGAAATTAGATGGAATTCTTTATATGGGTAATATTTTCTAACTGCTGAACCAAAAATCTGATGAATATTTTAATATTAAAAAATTGTTATGCACGAAAACATTAGATATTTTTTTAATAAAATGCATTTTTTAAACTCAACTCCAAATAAAATAAAACGTTTAACGTGAAATTCTTAAAATTTTTGGTTCACAGTAGTTTCCAAATGCTATAAAAGCTCTATACATTAAATATGGAATTAAATTATGCAACAGAATGTTCAAAACTGCGCGCAAGGTGGAAAACATGACGAAACATTTTGTTAC